TCATCTAATTATCAGGTCCTGGATGGTGGCCTGGTCCCTCGTGGTAAAAGCTGTTGTTTGCTTGGTGCATCTGTCGTGCTGTATGTCTCTCCAGACAACTCTCGCAACACGATAGCTCTCTGTTACCTTCACCTCAGCTTCAAACAAACAGTGCAGCTTCAGAGTGACAAACTCTATCCTCTATACGGTTAAAGACCTTAATTTCATCTGACGTCATAACGTCATGCGGTCCTCACTTTTTGCCATGGCTGATTTTGTTCCACCACTTCTGAAACCACTTGCTGCAAGGATATATATACAGTGGGTACGGAAAGTATTCAGACCCCCTTAAATTCACTGTGCTTTTGAAAGGGTATTAGTTATATTATAATATTATATCATGTAATATTAGTTATATTATTGTTTACATTTCAGTTTTGACTTGTAAACATAATTTTTCTTCACAACATACAATATAAATATCAATAGCAATTCAAAAGCTTGGTGTACTTTTTTATTAATACGTCTATTTAGCAATGATGCATAAAATTGCTCAAAAGTGAGAGTGGAGAGAAAATATTACAAAAGATTTCTATTTCAAATAAGTGCTGTTCTGTTGAATTTTCTATAGAATCCTGAAAAATGTTTCCATGGTTTCCACAAATATATTAAGCAGCACAACTGTTTTCAACACTGATAATAATAAGAACTGTTTCTGGAGCATCAAATCAGCATATTAGAATGATTTCTGAAGGATCAGGTGACATTGATGACTGAAATAATGGCTGCTGGAATTTCAGCTTTGCCATCAGGAATTTATTGAAATATATTTAAATAGAAAACAGTTATTTAAAATTGTAGTAATATTTCACAATGCTGTTTTACTTTTGATCAAATGGAGTCTTGGTGAGAATAAGAGGCTTTAAATAAATACATACATAAAAAAGTTATTGACCACAAATGTTTGAACGCTAGTGTAGTTTAACATTTGATGACCTCCTTCAGAACTGTCCCCTCCAGCTTTTAAAAAAAGAAGACACCCTTGACACTAATTGTGAAGTGGGTTCTTAGTCACATAGTGTGTACTTGAAGCCTAGTTTTCTAGACTAGCGCACTTTAATCATTTTATACAAGTCTAATCACTTCAGTTCACAGTTAATGCTGCAAAAGTGCTTTGAGAACACTGTCATCCCAAAAGCAGCATTATCGCCTGGTATTACTGCAGGAAATCTGTGGTGGTCTTTGTTTAGAACTCCCTTTGTACCTAAACGCACACTAATTAATTATTCAGTTACATTTGAGAGATTTACCATAATGGTTTGATGTGAAGTGGCTTTTCATTGTTCTCCATCCATTTTTTCCCTCTTTATTTTGTAAGAATTCTAGGAATCGTATGAATAGCTTTGCATATTTGCAGTATGATTTTCCATATAGAGCAAAGGAGGATTTATACGTACTGTAATAATGCTGCCTATAAAGATACCTTGTTTTAGTCAAAGTTGCATTGGGCTAAATGAGTAGTGTTTTCAGACTACATGTACTTTTAGGTTTTCAGTTTCCATTAAAATTTTAGTGTTTTAGTATTTTTTTTTTAGTTACGTTTTTGTCATTTTTAATATTGCTATTTAGCTGAAATTTATTTTTATTTCAATTTTAGTTTTAGTAATTTTGGCACTTACAGGTGCATCTCAATAAATTAGAATGTCGTGGAAAAGTTCATTTATTTCAGTAATTCAACTCAAATTGTGAAACTCGTGTATTAAATAAATTCAATGCACACAGACTGAAGTAGTTTAAGTCTTTGGCTCTTTTAATTGTGATGATTTTGGCTCACATTTAACAAAAACCCACCAACTCACTATCTCAACAAATTAGAATACTCCATAAGACCAATAAAAAAAACATTTTTAGTGAATTGTTGGCCTTCTGGAAAGTATGTTCATTTACTGTACATGTACTCAATAACTTGGTAGGGTCTCCTTCTGCTTTAATTACTGCCTCAATTCGGCGTAGCATGGAGGTGATCAGTTTGTGGCACTACTGAGGTGGTATGGAAGCCCAGGTTTCTTTGACAGCGGCCTTCAGCTCATCTGCATTTTTTGGTCTCTTGTTTCTCATTTTCCTCTTGACAATACCCCATAGATTCTCTATGGGGTTCAGGTCTGGTGAGTTTGCTGGCCACTCAAGCACACCAACACCATGGTCATTTAACCAACTTTTGGTGCTTTTGGCAGTGTGGGCAGGTGCCAAATCCTGCTGGAAAATGAAATCAGCATCTTCAAAAAGCTGGTCAGCAGAAGGAAGCATGAAGTGCTCCCAAATTTCTTGGTAAACGGGTGCAGTGACGTTGGTTTTCAAAAAACACAATGGACCAACACCAGCAGATGACATTGCACCCCAAATCATCACAGACTGTGGAAACTTAACACTGGGCTTCAAGCAACTTGGGCTATGAGCTTCTCCACCCTTTCTCCAGACTCTAGGACCTTGGTTTCCAAATGAAATACAAAACTTGCTCTCATCTGAAAAGAGGACTTTGGACCACTGGGCAACAGTCCAGTTCTTCTTCTCCTTAGCCCAGGTAAGACGCCTCTGACGTTGTCTGTGGTTCAGGAGTGGCTTAACAAGAGGAATATGACAACTGTAGCCAAATTCCTTGACACGTCTGTGTGTGGTGGCTCTTGATGCCTTGACCCCAGCCTCAGTTCATTCCTTGTGAAGTTCACTCAAATTCTTGAATCGATTTTGCTTGACAATCCTCATAAGGCTGCGGTTCTCTCGGTTGGTTGTGCATCTTTTTCTTCCACACTTTTTCCTTCCACTCAACTTTCTGTTAACATGCTTGGATACAGCACTCTGTGAACAGCCAGCTTCTTTGGCAATGAATGTTTGTGGCTTACCCTCCTTTTGAAGGGTGTCAATGATTGTCTTCTGTACAACTGTCTTCCCCATGATTGTGTAGCCTAATGAACCAAACTGAGAGACTATTTTGAAGGCTCAGGAAACCTTTGTAGGTGTTTTGAGTTGATTAGCTGATTGTCATGTCACCATATTCTAATTTGTTGGTGGGTTTTTGTTAAATGTGAGCCAAAATCATCACAATTAAAAGAACCAAAGACTTAAACTACTTCAGTCTGTGTGCATTGAATTTATTTAATACACGAGTTTCACAATTTGAGTTGAATTACTGAAATAAATTAACTTTTCCACGACATTCTAATTTATTGAGATGCACCTGTATTATATTTCACTTAATGGCCAAAGCAACATCTTTCATTTTAATTGTTATCTAATATTTTATTTTATTTTAGTAACTGATGAAATCCTTGCATGATAAGGATGCTAACTTAGATAGCTGCCTATGTAGACAGTAGTAAACAAGGTATCGAAACCTAAGGAGAGCTAAAGCCTCTGGATTTTGTAGAGGGGAACATAAGACTGACCGTGTCACCTCTGCTATCATTTTTTGTTGCAGCACTGAAAACGATTTTAGTGCTAATATAGAAATGGTAAGATGATGAAGAGAGGAAGAGAGTTACGAGTACGCAAGTCAATTGCTCGTTCCTTTTAAGGAAATGGCCTAGTATACTACAAAGATTTACCGTTGTTGAAAGATTCAGGAGTAATGGCCAAGGTATTACTGTACACCATTTATTTTTATAATGGCAGTGAATCATGTGGCATTTATGCCTGAGTCCTCCTCTTCTCTCTGAAGAGTGTGTGTGAAGAGGACAGCACAGAGTCAATAGCTTCACTCTGAGACATGCGTCCTCTAATAGCAGGTGGGAGGTTAAGTGCTATAATAAAACTACAAGGACCATGGCGGTCACTCTTCTTGGGGCCTTCTTGTTGTGTGCTGCCAGGCTTCAGTGTTTGCCATTGGGTGTATAATCTCACAGAAGAAAGACAACTCAAGGCTGTTATTAGCCAAATGTTTAAAGTATAAGCCAGCCCCTGTAAAAAGTGTATATTTATGCTTAATGGTGTGATTTCATGTGTGTGTGTGTGTGTGTGTGTGCGTGTGTGTGTGTGTGTGCATATGTGAATGTGCTAAGCAGGTGAATTCCAAAGTGTAGTCTTCAGCCCTCTTGACCTCATGAATATTACATCAGTGGACTGAGGGCATGCAGAAGAGTAGATGAAATATTTACTACCACCTCCACCTCCATTCTTGTTTTAGGCAAGTGTTTGTTCTAACTAGGATGGACCACTGTGTAAATAGCTGGCCTTTATGTGCACATTAACCCTTAAAAGCATGCATGTTTTGCAAATTATTCATACATGCCTTGTGGAATTACAAATTGCCCATATGCAAAAATGTCAGGCTTTGTAATGTCAATAAAATAATAATACTGAATATATTTTGGTATTTTATTTGTCACGTATCACATAAATATTGCAATAAATTATAGAACAGGATTCATTACTTCTGTACAGCACTTCTACAAATATGACATGATCAATGTTATTTATAAAAGTTTCAGAATTTCTTAGACAGTTCATCACAGAAAAGTTATGGAATGCTTAAGTGGTAGGGCCACAAAAAAACAAAAAAAAGTGGATGAGATAAAGGGTGGAATAAGACTCACTGTATTAAGTATTAAGAACTGTATTTATCCTAAATAAATAAGGTATCATCTAGCACAGTGATTGTGTAGTGTAGGATTTAGAGGATTTATATTAATCTGGAAGTATTTACCCATGTATGAGATCTGAGGAAAAAAAAGAAAAAAAAAGTTAGCAGGCCTATGTTTGTAACTGAACTGAGCACTGGACGTTTCTAAATAAATAAACAACAAAACTTTAACTTTTGTATAACATTTTACATTTGTAGATTCAGTGGTAAATTGTATTGATGTTGGTCATATTAATTTTAGCAAATATTTTGTAACATTTACAATACATTTTACATAGCGTTCACACCTCTTCATACGTATTTTGAGTCGTCAGTGGCCCGTATGGGCGGAAGTGTTTGGTAACGCAGTTCTGCCACCTTGAGGTCATAATAATGATATTGCAACTATATTTTGGGTGAGACGTATTAACTGTGCGCACAGTAGAGACTTTGAAGACGGTGTGCTTTTAGTACGGAAGACGGAAGGCTTTTGATTTATGTTTATGATGTTTCTATGCGTTTTGAGGTTTCTACCATCTGAGCAGTGACGGAGCTGAAGACTGACACGTTAAAAATGTGATCTGACGGTAACCAGGCGACCGCTTTCTGCATCAATACCCGTATTTCCGTACTAATACCAACTATCTCTCTCAATTTTCGGGACGACTCGTGCTGAAATCTCCTAATATGAAGCATCGCTTGGTAAAAATTAATTTTCTCAGTAGTGTGGAATCAAATACATTCAGACGGATGAGCGCTTTTATACCGTGTGATGTGATGGACGATCAGCTGATCACTGCTTGACAGTATGACTGACATATAAATAGACCGAATTTTTATGTATGTAGAGAAGCTTTTTAATACAAAATTGAATTACATCATGCCAGAAAGGTTACAGTTTACATACTGGTATTTTGGGCTTAATCTGGGATTATCATTCCGTTTTATGAAATGTGACCCTGGTCCCTGGACCACAAAACCAGTCGGGTCATTTTTTTAAAATTGATATTTATACAACATCTGAAAGCTGAATAAATAAGCTTTCCGTTAATGTATGGCTTGTTAGGATAGGATAATATTTGGCCGAGATACAACTAGCCTATTTGAAAATCTGGAATCTGAGGGTGCAAAAAAACCAAAAACAAATCAAAATATAGAAAATCGCCTTTAAAGCTGTCCAAATGAAGTTCTTAGCAATGCATATAACTAATCAATTGATCTATTTACGGTAGGAAATTTACAAAATATCTTAATGGAACATGATCTTTACTTAATATCCTAATGATTCTTGGCATTAAAAAAATCGATAATTTTGACCCATACAATGTATTTTTGGCTATTGCTACAAATATACCCCAGCGACTTAAGACTGGTTTTGTGGTCCAGGGTCACATATGAAAAGGAATGACTTTGTTCTGTAATGTTGTCTTGGATTATAAAGGTAGATTGAATTGGTCATAGAATGGAGGTTCCTGCAGTAAACCACAGCTATACACATCCACCACCACAGCCATGGGCCGGACAGAGTCCCAGGACCCCAACCATGCCTCCACCCAGCTGTCCATTTCCTTCATATCACTATCCAAACCTGAACCCAGATCAGCAGAGTGTGACCCCCATGACCCAAACGACAGGAACCGCAGCAGGCCATCAGCCTCAGTCACTGTACTGGGACCCCTCACAGCAAAGCTACCAAGGTAAGAATAATAAATCTTTGAACATCACAATCTACGGAGAATTTAGCTGTCTGATGGAAGAACATGCTAACATTTTTGATCCTGTCTTGTCGCAGGAGTATTAAAGCCTGTTCCTGAGATTACAAATAAGACGAATCAAGGAATGCCACAGAGAAGCTACTCATTACCAGTGAGTGCATGACAGTGTAGGGGAGATCGGGGGATATTGTACCTTTTTGTTTTCTTTTTTATGTCGTATTTCAGGGTACATTTTCTTTTTTCAAACTAATTAAAATCCTATACTCATTCTACTTTATCTTATAAAATTTTATATATATTATATTTTATATATAATATGTTTCTTAAATGTTTTTCAACTTTATCTGGTATTAAATCATTTAGCTGTCCCAGATTAATATGCATTGAAACCAAAATTCTCACCGTAATTCTACATTGTAACAAAAAATGATTAAATCTTTTTTAAAGTAAAATACAATAAAATATATTTTAACATACAAGTAAAAAAAATTGTTTCTCCCAGTGACAGTGTAAGCATCTGTCATTATGGTGAACTTTTATCACTAATTTAGTGATTTAATAAATAAAACAAAATTGTCATTAAATAAAACAATAGCATAACACAAGAAAAGTTCTGGAAATTCAAAAATATCTCAATTAAAACGTTGTAACAATCACACTTCTTTTTCCCAGACAGAGTGAACTTTAATGAGTAAGTGCTCTTTAAGTGTCATCAGTATGGCTTGTATGTGACTGATGAAAAGTTGTCTAATTGTCTCAGTCTCATGTATTATACAAGCATGTGGCCCACATGATCTGTATTGAATTTACTGAAGGATCACTTTCTTTTCCTCTCTTTTGTCAGACGAGTCCAGTGTCAAATTCTAAGACAGAGTCTCGGTACGGCCTGGATCCTCAGCTTCTGCCCAGTGTGGTAAATGAACCGGCCCTCTTATTCTGTAATGTTTCCATTAAGACAGCTCAGGTTTGATTGCACTGTTGTGCATGGCTGTGTTATTTTGTCTCGGTGTCTAAATGTCTCTTAAATGTTCAGGTCCAGGTGATTAAAGAGGACAGGATCCAGTGGGAGGGGAAAGTGTTTGTTTCAGAATGCAAATCTTCAGTTCCCCCTCTCTCCTCAACACAATGCACCCTGGAGGACAGAGGTACTGTCACTGCTGCCCGGTTTAGCCCGCATTATCTTTTGACTTCGTTCCCAAATTCACATGAAAAATAAATGTGATGCACCTGGTTTTCTCATCACAACAGCTTTTGTTGTACTTTTGTTGAAATGATTTTGACCTTAACTGACTTTCAGACAGTGATGGAGCCAGACGCACAAAGGTAATGAAATATTGACAGGTGTTGTTCTTATAATGAGACATCATGATAATCTCAAACACAGCTGCTGTTTTTCAGTCTTGTAAATACAGCAGCACATTAACGGTGGAGTCCTGCTGACACTAGGACAAACACACAGTATGCTGTGCATTTCCATTACAGCTTCAATGTTCTTTCTTTAATTAGGCTGTTTTTAAAGTAATAATATGATCTTTATTATTATTATTAATAATAATAATATAATAAATACTATTATTACTACTACAACTAATAATAATGATTTAAATGCTGTTTGACCAAATACAACATCTGGCACCAAAAACATCATTATCTATTGATGGGCATGAAAAATTAATTGTGTATTCTGATCTTTTTTTTTTTTTTTTTGGAGAAAGAAATTAAATAGTATTAGAAAAAAGAATTTGTATGGGGCAACCAGTTTTTAATTTAAAATATTATTATTAATAATACTAATTATAATAATAATTTAAAGGTTAACATTTTAATGCTTTGTATTGTTACAATGTCAGTAGTATTTGAAAAGAACAACGTGTATAAATATCCTTGTTTATCATCAAAATGTAAAACTAAAGATCTTACGTAAACCATAAATAGTCAGATCGAACCCAGTGCATTATGGGTGTTGAAGTTTACCTACCTTTTTGGAAAAAGGTAACACCACAGTTTATTTTTTCCGTTTTCTCTAGCAACTTAAAAAAAAATGTTGTCTTTCTACTGCATAATTTCTGCAGCCAAGTTTTATTAAAAGCCAATCTTGTCAGTAGTGAATTACCTCTTTAAATTTAAAATATTTAGATTTTAAATATTTTATGCCCTTATGGCATATGCCCTTAAGGCCCTTATGAATTTCTTTTTCTAATACTACTTTCTTGTTTTTCTCAAAAAAAAAGAAAAAAAAGTTCCTTTTTAATCACCAGTCAATAGAGAGTGTTGCTTTCTGGTCCGAGATGTTGTAGTTAGTTGCAGAATCTAGCAAAACCTTCGGTTGTTACAAGTGAAAACAAGATTATAATATTGTGCGACACAATGTATAATCACTTTTTTTTGTTGTTCACTGTGCTTCACAGGTAATGCCACACCTCGTTTTATCCGCTGCACGGCCTACAGCTTCCCTGTGGAGGCTCAGTCAGCTCAGAAGAGTCATCTCCCGCTGGGTGCAATCGTGTGTCCGCTGGCCAGGCCGGAAAAAGGAGAAGTATGCATGGAAAAAACAGTAAACATTTATTTGGGGAAGTTTAGAATGATTACGATATCCTCAAAAATGTCACTTCTATTTGTCTTATTTGAGTCATTCTGTCATTTTGAGAAATCCCAATCACCTTCACATACTCTTCAGTGTTTTACTGTGGCCTGCTCTTGTAAACATGCTATGTGAATGTTTTCCACAGCGTGATGTGCCAGTTTGTGAGGTGGGAGATTGTGTTAAGGGCTGTGCACACTGCGGGGCCTTCATGAGCCCTGCTATGAGCTGGCAGGACTGCGGGCAAAGATTCTACTGCCCTTTCTGCGACAAACTCAATGAAGGTAAGTCTTGCTTGGCCTACAGTCATTCTCAATTTTCGGTTAAAGCTGTGCACATATGTCCTTCCATCTTTGCTCAAGTATGTATTTTTCTCATAGTGCCATGGCAGTCCTATCAGCCCACTAATCAGGGTCGCCGTGTCGACTGCGAAAAAAAACCTGAGCTCAGTCTTGGCTCATATGAGATCCTGGAAAAAGAGACGGTCGGGAATGGCATGGATTTGTTTTGAACTTTATTTTTCTCTTGTTTTATACTATATGTAACTGTATTAGATTAGATTACACATAAGTATTTAATAAAAATTGAATTTAGGGTTAATAGAAACAGCTAGTTCAAAGCATTATCATGTTGTTGTTTTTTTAAATATACACTACCATTCAAAATTTTGAGGTCAGTAAGGATTTATTTATTTGGCAATGACACATTCAATTGAAAAGTGATAGTAAAACATTTAGAATATCATTACAAAAGATTTCTATTTCACATAAATGCTGTTGTTTTGAACTTTGTATTCATTAATCCAGAAAAGAAAGTATCAAGGTTTCCACAAAAATATTACGCAGCACAACCGTTTTCAACACTGATAATAATAATAAATGTTTCTTGTGCATCAAGTCAGCATATTAGAATGATTTCTGAAGGATTGTGTGACACTGACGACTGGAGGAATGATGTTGAAAATTCTGATCACAGGAATAATTTCATTTTAACGTACATTATTTTAAATTGTAACAACGTTTTACAATATTACTGTTTTACTGTAATTCTTAATGAAATAAGTGCAGCCTGTGTGAGCATAGGAGACTTATTTTTAAAATATTTTTTAAATATCTTACCGACTCCAAACTTTTGAATATTAATGTACATACAGTAGTCAGTTTTTATATTGATGCCAGTTTTATCTAAATTGTTGAATAGCTCTGACCTCCACTATGATCTACTTAACAGGGTAAAGCTGCTGTGTTGCTTCTGGCGATAGATGTATCTGCCAGTGCGATGAGAACGGGGCAGCTAAACCACATTTGTAAGCAGATGTGTTCTCAACTGCAAGCTTTAAATGGGTAAGGGATGTTAACGTTTAAAATTATTTTCACAATCATGTCCATTCCTAATGTTGGAAATCAATTCTGGAATTCAAATGTTTCTTTGTTTTAGGCCTGAAGAAACTGACCGATCAGATCTTCGAGTGGGTTTGATGACCTATGACAGCCGGATCCATCTGTATAACCTGAGTCCAGCTCTGTCCCGTCCTCACATGATGGTCATCACTGACTGTGAGGAGCTGGAACTTCCTGTGGTGGAGGGCCTTCTGGTGCCACTGAAAGACTGCAGACACATTCTTGAGAGGTTTTGAAACTGCATTTGTTCTACTAATATAATTATCATTAAAACAAGAGCGAAAGAGTCAACAATATAGTTAACAGTAAAGTTAACAATATAGTTAACTATTCCTTTCTTCCCGGGCAGAGTTCTACAGGAAATTTCACTTTTCAACCCTGAGTCGGATGGATCCGGCTCACAAGAGCTTTCTGTTTGTGCAGGGCTGAAGATTCTTCAGGCAAGAGCCTTCATATGAGTCTTAAACATGCACATGCCCTTGCTGAAAAATCCAGTGTATGTGCTGCAAATGTTGATTTATAAATCTCTTGCGTTTCATTTCAAAAGGATGCAGCGTCTCCAGGCAAATTATTGATCTTTCATTCCTCGCCTGTTTCTGAAGGCTCAAATCAGAAAAGCTCCTCTGGTTTCTTCAGCTCTAGCAAAGTGAAGGTGAATTAAAGAACATGCAATTTCTCCACAATATTGTCCATAACGTTAATTATCTAAAAGTGTTTTATTTATCTGCTTCCTCTTGGTTTCATATTAGTCCATCTTCCAAGGACCAGATTCTTCGATCTCATTGGCTAAAGAATGTGTCAATCAAGGCTGCAGCGTGCACATTTTTGTGTTCTCCCATCATGAAGTAGGCGGGGCTTGGCCAGGGCACATCCCCTTTCTCACAGGGGGTGGGGTCATCTGCTATAACAGTCTACAGGTAATAAATGCCATCTGTTCTCAGTCGACATCAGTTACACCCTCATGTCCTATTATATCAGACGAAGAAAACCTTAGAGCCCAATTAATTTAAAACTGCTGCACAAATTTGAAAATTCAAAACAACCCTATGGCTGCCTCGAGAATTAGCCTGGAATGTCATAATGGTTGGTACTTGTTAAAAATCTCTGCTGCTAATATAAGGCTTTTGTTGACATCCTATTAACTGGAAGTGTTACAAAGGTTGCCTTCCTGCTCTATCATAGTCCCCCTGAGCAAGCCACTTGCCTGCTCCAAGAGGACCGTCCCTGCAATTAGAGCACTGTAGTAATGGATGATAAATGTCTGTTAAATGATAACATGACCATGATAACCGGTATGAATGGTCACCAGATAACAAGGATTCAGATTTACTGGAAATGTGTAGAATCAAGCTCTTTATCTGGTTGCAATGGCTCCTTCATCGCCGGTTCTGACTCCTGGTGGCATTCTTTTATTATATTTTTTTATACTGTAGTGTATGTAGTGTGTAGTATATTTAGGGCCCTAAACGCGGACGAAATTGTCATAAAAATGGAATTTACTGTGTAACACGGAATGTCATGGAATTTGCCACATTTTGGATGAATAAATAAAAAGTAAGTCAGTACACTTAAATCAAAACGCAATATAGGCTAAGGTCTGTGAATATAAATCCGCAAAATACTATTTAAATATGAATCCTGCTCAGGCCCGGCGCCAGAGTGGGGGCCGGGGGGGGGCT